TACTATGCTCAGATTTGTGCCTTGTTCAGCCATCATCAGAGAAGGTTTCTCCTGAAGCTGGCAAGAAAAGAGACCCTCAGACAGACATTACACAGAGTGGATACTTTTGAACAAATCAGTTCTTAACGGTATGTTTCCACTAAATCCCTCCCTCTGTGGCTCCAAGAACTCCTCCTCAGAATAAGAAAGTGTAAGAGCCAAAGAGGAGGGAGGACATGTAGAAAACAAGGCACTCCACCTCAGCATGAGAAAAAACACATATGAAGCCACATTCTGTAGCTGCTTCTTAGCTGAAATTACAATGGTGTTGTCAGGACCTTGGATGTTTGGAGTGCTTATCAAAGGCTGGATGGAAGGTGTTGAGTTAAGACTTGGAGACATCTGTTTTTATTGCTATCCAGGTTTACAGGGACAAACTCAGGCAGGCAATGTACAGACTGCTTTAGACAGGTTAAAGCCAGAGGCTCAGGCCAGTTTGGAATTCCATCAGAAACATCAAGTTTATATGGTTTACAGCAAGTGTAGGGGTAGTTGATTTTAATTTGGAGCAGTTTATAGTTTTTAAATAATTAGAAATTTGATGGGAGAGATATAGACTGGAGAGAAAAAAAGATAAAGTTAGTGAAGATAGTGGAAAAACTTTTTCTTGGGTATATGCTTGAAACGTCCAGATGTATAAATAATTGGGTGTGCAAATAGTCTGAAGACTAAGGGTATCAGGGGTAGATAGCTAGATGGACCAATAGATAGGTAGATAGTTATATGTATAGATCCAAATGTTAGGAATTGACAGAATTGAAAAACCACTAGAAGACGTTTGAGCTACCCCAACCTACTTCAGGGTCAAGTAGGGTGGACTAAGAAGCTGGAGAGTAAATTACAGACCACCTTAACAAAGGAAATAGGGTGTAATCTCACATTTACTCTTCATGAGCCTAACAGTGACAGAGTAGGTAGAATAGGGATACTGAACAACGTGGGGTGCTACATGGGGTGAACTGCTAAAGGATTTTGTGATTGCTGTAAGAATGACAGTTACCTTTTTCATTTCTTCATAGCTGAGTAACAGGAAGTTGTCATTTTTCCTCATAGACAGCCAGTCACGGGTGTGCTCAAACCATGATCCATATGGCACTGTATGAAAGGGGAAGGAAATTATTGATTACAAAGAATAAAATTAAGGTCTGCTTATTATTAACCACATTCTGTAAATGGCAGACAACTTTACTAAGAAAAACCGAATCAGTATTTAAAGCATTTAATGTGATATTTTATGTAGCCATGTCAGAGGAGCAGTAGGTGGCAACTGAATATCAGTAGGTTGGTCCACCAGAAAGGAAAGTTCTAATGGGTGAGTCTCAGATAGATGAGGCCCCAAAGGCTTTGGCTCTAGAATGACTTTTGCTAATGTTGCACCTTAACATTTATGCCACTGCTATTTTCCTATGGTATCTAGCAAGGTGTGAATGCATGTGGGAAGATCCCCACTTCCCTTAATTTATTATGACTATCTCCAGGAAATATCCCATTCTACTGGGCATTTTAATTTGTGGATTATTATAAAAATGATTTCCTCCTAAGCTATTCTGTTTAGAGCAATGATTTTATACAATATAATAGTGTCAGTTTAAATGAGATTTTGATGATTTGGGTTATTTAATAAATATAGTAATTGATTATGATAGAGTTTAGTTTAGTGGGGAAACTCATAAAGTCAAAAGCAAGATACGGTGTTTCCCCTGCCAATGATAAATCATGGGCTGCAGAGGAAAGAAAATAAGAACAAGGAAATTTCACATACCTAGTTTTTTTGAGGATCCATTTAGAATGTGGCTTAAGTTAATGATTAAGAAATACAATTGTGTTGTAGAATATTATTTTAAAGTATGTTACTTTTTTATGTTGCATTTTTTTTAACTCTGTGAAGTTGTGTTATTGTACCTGTCTAAACACTTGATGGTCTAATAAAGATCTGAAGCCAATTTTGAGGCATGAGAAAGGACAGAGGGGTTGTCAGGCAGAGAATATATAGGATTCTGGGAGTAAAAAAGATTAATGAATGAGAGAGAAGAAGGAATACATCAGATTTAGCCAACCAGATGCACAGCCAGTGCCAGTAAGAGTAAGAGTAAGATTTACAGATGTAAGAGAATGGGAAAATCCCAGATGCAAAAGTTAGATGAGCTAGTTTAAGTTAAAGAAAGCTGGCAAGAAACAAGTCAAACTAACCCCAGGTATTTACAAGTAAGAATAAGCCTCCTTGTATGATACACTTGGGAGCTGGGTGGTAGACCACCCAAAAGAGGAAAAATGAACAACAACACAATTTTGTCCCAGAAGTTAAGCTAGCTCAAGTTCTTCTAATCTTAATGTTGGGAGATGTGACATGGGCTTCAGTGTGCATCATAGTGAAAAGAAAGCTTTCAATGTGACTTACAGATAGGAAAAGATATTTTGTTAATAACTTTGAGATGAAAAACCTGGGGAAACCATCTAAAGTTTATAAAGGAACATAGTTGAGTGAGGGACTCATTGAGGTCAAGAAACAAGAACAAAGCAGCCTAGTTATTACTTGCGGATGGATCTTTCTTGTTAAGATGGTTTGGCAATCCAAGATGATGATTAATTCCTTAAATCCTGATAATTAATTCAAAGACAATGGTTAATTAATGCCCATTTATTCCCTCTGCTTCCTGATACAAAAAAGCTATTGATGAAGGAATACACAATCTGAGTATTTAAAACACAGAAGACTGATTGTTTTTCATACATAATAATTTAGGTTTGTGATTCTTTTAAGATTGTTTACAAAGTTATCATTTGAGATAAGTAATAAAATCCTTCCTTTGTAACTACAAAATTCAGCCTGGTAGTGAAAGAATGGCTGAGAAATATATCTTACTTGCTTATATTCTGTTAATCTATACAAAGTTGCTTGGATATGAATGTATGCATGATCTTGGGATAATTTGTTTTACATCCATGATATGTAGGATGTTTAATCATTTTGAGGGAAATTGGAAATCATGTTTTCTAACTGTATTCATGGTAATCATGCACTTGAAAAATAGAATGTATCCACATTGTAGTTTTATATTGCCTGAGAGATTTTCTTCAGATATATAAGCTGTGAGAGAAACATAGAGGAAGAATAAAGAGAAAATGATGGAGAAATATAGATGTTTGTGCACATTTCTTCCTTTGTTGGCCCCAGCAAATTAAATTTTATACCCTCAGATAGAAAAGTCAAGTTAAGTGATTAGTTTGCTGACTCCATGGCTTCCTCTTCAATCCTTGAGCTCCTCAAAGCTAGTCATCATTTCAATGATACCATTTGCCATACACACACTGTTAATAAGCAGATAAAATCCAGTTCATTAGTAAACTCATCACCTCACAGATTTACTACTGATGCCATGAGGAGACATCCTATTGGCATGTAGCAGTGACAAAGGCATGAGTTGGTAAAAAGTGATCACAACAATTAAGGCAGCGAGAGCATTCTGAGCATGTCCAGCTTGGGACTTTATATTACCATCATGTCTGGAGAACCCTATTAACCCCTTCTGAGGGAGATGTCTTCCCACTAACATACACTGTAGTGGGTATACATTCCATCTTTGACCTGCAAGTTCCAACCACCATTGAGGCATCTGTAATGGTTATGCCTACAAGTCTGGGCTGAGAAAGGACGCTGAAGACCTGAGATCCAGATGCACAGGGTCTCTTAGTTCCTGGACCATGGTCGCTGGAGGTAGACCAAGCAGAGTTCTCCAGAGAACACTGCCGGACTGTGCCACACCTTTTCCAGACCCTGAAAACTATCCCTTCACTTGTAATTTACCCCACAAGATAAACCTCCCTTTTAACTATGTGGAGTGGCATTAATAATTTCACCAATAATTCACCTCTTAGGTTCTACAACTTGTGGATAGTGACTCCTTAAGACCAAATACACCAAAACATAGACAGCTAGAGATGCTCAAGGCATAACCTTCCACATTCAACCCAATGCTTCATTTACATTCCTAGTATTACTTTAATGTGTTTTCAATAGTCAGAGTGTCTTAACTGTTCCTGGTCTAGTTGTGCTGTCTCTTCCTGCCTCACCCTCCATTGCAGGCTTGTGTTGTTCCCAATTATCTGAAGAACCAACTGAATCAAGTCAGGAGAGAATGTAAGACTTAAGTTAGTGTCAGAGCAGTAGGATACATGAATTCAATGAATTTAAGATTTTTGAAACCTGGTGGTGATAAATGATCTACAGAGAATGTGTAGAGATAAAGTCAATTGCATAATATATGAGAAAATTAAGTCACTTAAATAGGTTGAAAGCTGGGCTCATGTGATAACTCAATGGAAATCAACTGCCTTGTATGTCACAAGACCTGAGTTTATTTTATTAAACATAGTAACCCTTCTTTGACATAAGAAGTGGCAAAAGGAGATTTGCCTACAAGCTTAGGTCCTGCCAATTTTCCACACACAGGGATACAAGAAGATTGTCTAAAACAAGGTAGAAATCAAGGTTCAACACCTGATATCATCTGGCTTTAGCATAAGAACACATACATTCTCACATTTGCATACACATCATCATAAACACAAATACATGCATGCATAAAAGGAAAAGCTAGAAACCAAATGAAATGTTATGTCACACATATGTAATGCCAAAATTAAGAAGGGAGAGCCCAAAAACCAGGGATTCAGTGTAATTTTCAATTACATGACAAATTTCTTGTCAACTTGGGATATAACAGATCCTGTTTCAAAACCAAAAAAACCAAAAGCATGTTAGTGAGTGCACCAAAAACAAGCCATTGAGAAATATTGATAATAATTAATAGCATTTCTGCTTTGGATGTTTTTTTAAAAGTTATTTGTTTGGAGACATGAATTACAAAGTGTATGCCAACAAGGCTGTAGTTGGCAGATTTCCTGTGTCCTGACCTTCTGGAGGTAGGGACACATCTCTCTCACCCATATCTCCCAAGTAAACACACAGAAGCTTATATTAATTATAACTGCATGGTCATGGCTTAAACGTTTTGCTAGCTACTTTTTATATCTTAAATTATCCCATAACTATTAATTTGCATATTTCCACTGGTTCTGTGGCTTTAACTGCATCCAATTACATGTTGCTCCTTGGGTGGCTCACTGGCATCTCTTCTACCTTCCTGTCTCTCTCTTTTAATTTCCAGCCTGCCTCTAAGCTGCCTTGTTATAGGGCAAATGGCTTTATTGATCAACCAATCAAAGCAACACCTATTCACAGCATACAGAATGATATTTCCTCACCATTTCCCCTTTTCTGTCTAAAGAAAAGAAAGGTTTTAACTTTAAACTATTAAAATTACAAATAACAAAAGAGTTATCAAGCAGTAATTACAGTTACAATATCTAGTCTATTTGTATTTTGTAAAATTAAAGAAAATATTCAATCTGTCCTACATTTGTGAGTCTAAGTTTTCATATGTAATTTATCTTTATCATAACCAAGGGAAATTATAATTAGAACTATCTAGTCTTCAACTACATCAAAGACCACAGAAGGATATATTACTTAAGTAAACAAGAAATACATTGTATGCAAGTTCCAAAAAAATTAGAATGACAGGGAGAGCTGGCTACCTGGATGTTACCTGCAACTCTAGAGCATCCTTATTCAGTCCATAGGCCTAGTGTCTCTCAGTTGCTTCTTTCTGTGTCCTGTGGAATGTCTGACAGTCTCATCTGTTAAGTAGGAACCTGAAAAACCATCTTATCTTTCAAAGTTCAGTGTTCACCTTTTATGGGTCCTGCATGTCCACTTTATACAACATATTATCCAGTAGTCAAGGCAGCTTTTTGTCCAGTGGCTAACTTTTGCAACAAAGAAAGCAAACTTCATGATGAATTTTTTCAATGCCCATTATCTTCTCTGAAGTAGATTTGTGCTGCCAGGAGCAGACATGTCTCAATGTCCGGAAAGTCAAATTTCTTAAAACATTTTAAATGCCATATTCTGTAGGTCTTTGAACTGTTTGAAGATTACATATATAATTGAAATATATCTATTTATATCTAGACAACTAACATGACTACAAGTTTGATTATCATCGATGATTAACTATGAATATGTATTTCTT